CTTTCATGTTTCTGCAAGGTGAACTCTAGAGGAAGTGAGGTGAATATAAACCATGGAAAATTTGGCATGCATCTATAAAGAACCCTATCTTGGCATGATTGCTATTTATTTTGGCAGTAGGCTTTTATACCTTCTAAAAACAGATTATCCTGTATGTCTTCTCAGTTTGTCTCTATTCATTTTAATCTTAAAGTTTAGACTATAGAAAGGGGGAGTGTAGCCAAAATCCATTTCTTTCTCGTTAGATATCATGAGCTGGAAAGGACTTAAATAATATTTCTCTGATCAGTGGTCACACTCCCCACTCTCCAATTATATCATGAAAATAACATGTTTGAATACCTCATGTTTTATGGAGGAACCAGTTTGTCATTGGGTTCAATACAATTTTAATCAGAACAACTTTCTGAAAATAAAAACAAAAACCAACCACATTTTTCCTAAGATGAACAACTTCTGCATTTAGACAAAAGTGTCAACGAATGGGCTAGTTAAAATTCACTGCAGACAAAACTGTTGTCATCTTGGCTCCTGAAATAAATGGCTCTTTGGCTATTCTGTCCCTTTTCAATACTGGATAAGAGCTTCTAGAGGGAAAAGGCAATGCTTCTACGTTCAGAGATCTTACTACTCTAAAGGAAACTGCAGCAAAGAATACATACCTTTCAGCTAACATTCTTCTCAGCAGTACAACCAAGCAAGCCTCATGTCCCAGCTTAAATCCTCTCGCTTGTGATCCAAACCATAGCATTTGCAGTTTGGCCATGCAAATTTTTAACAGGGAAAGTAAATTGGCAAACCCAGTAAATTGAACTTGTCTTCTGATTTCAGCATTTAGTAGCAGCAGGTTCCGCCTGTACCTAGATGCAAAGTGGTTATTTAAAGCCAGCCCTTGAAGGGAATGCCATGGGAATGGGATTCCACTGGGGCTTAATGGTTTTAAATGAGCACCCCTCTCCCATAGCCGTACCACTCGGTCCTGCACTTTTCCCATAGCATTATGTTTGCGCTGCGCTGGATTAATAAAGTCAAAACAAAGCACTGTATCATGTTTTTAGAGATACTGTGTTGCATATGTTAATACCTCGCTTCTGTATACTGACCTCAGGCAGTGGCTAGGATGGCATCTGCAAACTAACTCTTCGAAACATGAGCTGCACACAAGTTGCCATGACAAGGAAAATAATCTTGCTCTATGTTTGTTTTCCAGCTAAGAAGCTCTTTCAAACAGGCCTTTGGAAAGAAGAAGTCCACCAAGCCTCCTTCCTCCCATTCGGACATAGAAGAGCTGACAGACTCCTCTCTTCCTTCGTCACCCAAATTGCCGCACAGCTCAGGAGAGTGTGGGGCAACATCAATGAAACCATCACAGTCGGCATCTGCGTAAGTCTCTCTCTTGGCAAACCTTTCTTCCCAAATGGGGTGGACTGTGAAAGAGACCTCCTCAAGTGTGGCCTTTTGCAGTTCAGAAACCATTGCCAACAACCGCGATCTTTTAATCTCGTGCTCCATCCATTTGCCAGATTTCTCGTGAGCTTCCTTCCATTCACACTACTTTTCCAGCAGCTCTTTCTTAGGTCATTCTCTTGTCCTTTCGCAGCCTTTATCCAAAGTCGTCTAGCAGGACAAACTTCTTTCCAAATGCATGTCCAAAAGCTTATGTTGTACTCTGCCTGCGCCATTAACAACTTTGTCATGTCCACTTAGTAAAGGCCAAATACTACAGTTTCCTTTCTTCATGACATATTAAAAATGTCATTTTATTTTCCAGGTAGAAAGATATTCATCCCTTCTGTTATTACGTTATCTACTTTGTAACTACTAATTTATATAATTTTTAATCTATTTCCCCTCTTTTATCAGCTTGGATTTTTTCTGGGATTTTATTTTTTTTTGTTCAAATCACTATCCTTAAGGTTTCAGGACTGAGAACAAGTCATCAGTCAGAAACTGTCCCATTTCTTCATTATTTTTTGGATGTCTAATATATTCTTCTCACAGAGTTCTCAGCTCCCATTCATATTCTTCTACCTAATTTTTTTCATTCTGCTAAACTCATAACTTTTTCTGATTTGGGGAAATCAGCCTCTTTGAACCAACAAATGCATACTGCTGATGCCAGCCTTATTTTCCTTGTCCTAATTGAGAATAATCAGGTCACAACTACTCTTCCTTAAAGCACCCGAGGAGTTCTAGTCTCGTGACTGATTACTGAGCTTTAGAATAGAATTTCCCTGCGTTAGATTAGGTGCCTTTTATTATTAACTTTTTTTAGACTCTACTGATTTTTATATACTAGGTTTAGGAGTTTGACAGGAAATAGTCCCACAAAAGAAATTCCTCCATGATAAATGTTTTTCTTTCCTCACATTCGGTACAGACAAACAAGGAATAACTCATCTAGATCTCCATTTTTTTGGTGGTTTTCTATAGGAAGCTCACATTTTTATGGTTTCATGTTTGTGTGTGTTTTGGGTGGCGGATTTCTACGTGTTTGGGACCCTTGCGTCTGATTTATTAGCAACTTAAAAATCACTAATAAAAGCCTTAATAGAAAGTGCCTAAACTTGAACAAAATACTTTTATTCTACAAAATTATTTACTCATGATTCACAGATCTGCTTTCATAACCTTATCCTGTTTCCTTTCAGCCAACCTTGCTTTTTTCTCTGTCTCTTTGATTTGCTCTCTAGATGTACCGGTGTTCCCAGAATTTATCAAGAGCAAAACTACATATCTAGTCTTCCATCCCAAGCTCTTCCCATGGCTATTTGGTCTCTGAGCCTTAACTTCCTAAATTCTGTCCAGTTCATAGCCTTCTGGTTTTTCCTCCATAACATCTTTCTGATCATATTATTACATTTTTTATTATTGTGACCTTTCTACACAGGATAACAACAGATTCCTTCCCTTCCACCGAGAGATCATGTAAAATATATTTATTTAGATTAATTTCATTGTCATACTGATAATGTTACTTTCTTTGGAAGACTCGGTTTTCCATTGCATAGTTTACACTTCTCTCACCTTCAAGACTTTTCATAATTGTCAGCAGCCTCTGTTCAAAGGTCACGACTGACTTACTCCTTCTACCCAAAGAAACCTATTGATTTAAAAATCCTGAGATTGTAACAAGAAAGAAAAAGTAAAACTCTTTCTTTCTAACTACTTTGAACCTTTGTCTGAAGTCTGACCAGGCTCCTGAGCTTCTTTCTGTGACTGCTCAGGAATGCTAACTTATCATTTTGTTTTCCTTTCTTTTGATGAAATTTCATCTTCTTACGTAATTTTACAGTTGTAGGAGCTAAGCGTTGAACAGTTCTGGAATCTGCAAAAGAAAAATCACTTCATACTTTCTGCTTCCATTCTGCTTATCTTAACAGTCTAGAAAGGTTTGTCCTGCTTCTTCCAGAACTGTAGCCCTACTCTCTGCTTCATTTTTATCTTCTTTAAAGCTGTCTTGCCAGGGTCTTTTTGTCCATCACTTCTCAAGATGTACTGCAAAAAAGTCAAAAAGAAAATAGCCAACATATAGATATGTGACTTCCCAGTTGTCCAAGTTGTTGTATGAGATAATATATGCATGTTAATAAAATTTCATTTCTTATTTGGTTAGCATAGGTATGGGCACATCAAACCAAGAACTGTATAATAATATTTGGGAAAAAATCCTAGTATATGCCTTTATTCATTTTTACTCACATTTAAAATATTTATGCATGTTGTGAATGGTATTCATTATTTTCCTTCTTCAATTTGCCATATTTTTTTTATTTGCCATGAACTTCTTCATCTTCCCTTTGCTTACGCTTTCTTTATATATTTCCTTGACCTGAGTCTCATGTTCTAAACCATTACCTTTACTTTCTTCCAATTGCACCTGTCTAATACGTGTGTATGCAGGTCATCTCTAGTCTGGGCACCAAAGAAAAGGCAAAACGGTCACGTGGTCTACAAGCATAGATCCCGGTAAAATTGAGTGTGGGGCATGGAGTTGTATACCCAACTGCTGACCTGGAGAGTGCTGCATCTTCTTTCCCAAAATGCATTTGCATGCATTCTGGCAATTAAAAGTTGACCTCTCTTTCATGTTTGTATATTAGTAGTAATAATCACAATAATAATACTTATTATTATAAAATATTTTTCGTATTTAAATTGTTCTGCAAATATTAACTATTTATAGTGACAGTAATAAAGAACAAATAACATTTAGAGAATTGACTGAAAATATTGCGCTAGTGTAACAACGTAGCCAAAATTCAGTGTTTTATTTTTTACTGGTTCTGTTATGCAACAGATCTAGGTCTGATGAAGATGCAGAGAGGCAAAACAGTCTGACATGAGAACTGGACAGTTGTGGGTCCCTGGGCCAGTCACGTTTTGATCTTTTCTCACAATATAATGGTTTCTTCCCTTAAAATGAATGCTTGTGAAAAATAATCATGTGGTGATTACTTTTAATTTCGTCTTTAAGGAAAAAAAGTCAGAACCAACCAGCATGATTTCAGATACCATACATTACCAAATGACAGGCTATAGGCAAAAAAGTCAACCATTATAGATCAAAATCTTGTAGACCATGAAGTCAAGGACTGTCTCTTTGTGTACTGTTCAAAACAGAGAAAACTGTTGATGCGTAACAGATAATAAATAGTAGTAGTATAGTTTAATCAGTATACTTCAGTTCTGACTGTTGTTACTTAGGGAAACTATATGCTTTGCAACAACAAAATGATGCAGATATAAAATCAAATTAAAACCAATGGGTGATACACACTCCAAAAAAAGATTTCTGAAAAGTTTTTAACAACTTTTTTTCATAAGAATCAACTATCTAACTAAACTGGAAAGGTATAAAGCTAGCTGATCATTTCATCTGGAGAGGGCTTTTTTCCTTTTTTTAATTTGCAATTTGAGCCTTTTCATGTTTCTTTGATAAGATTCTTTCTTCACTCATAGGTTTCACCAACAGCAAGCATTTTCTGTACTTTGATATTTTGTAATGACACTGCTTTGGGGGAGAACTTTCCTTTAATCTCCTGCCTGTTTCCTGCTTCTCTTTAGGATCTGTGAGTGCACAGAGGCAGAGGCTGAAATTATTCTTCAGCTAAAGAGCGAGCTGAGGGAGAAAGAGCTAAAATTAACGGACATTCGTCTTGAAGCCCTCAGCTCTGCACACCATCTGGATCAGATTCGGGAAGCCATGAACCGCATGCAGGTCAGTGCAGTAGCTTACGTGACGACAGGGGTGCACACCAAAGGTATGCTTGGTGTGTTTCCTTTCCCAGCACTTTGTTCCAAGTACTAAAAAACTGTCAATGCAAAGTGAATTGCTAGATTGACAATACTCCCAAAGGATGGGTATGGTAAGTGTTCACCTTATAATAATGATATTCTTAGCATTTATATTAGTAGCTAAAATGTTTTCAAGAGATATGGAAGGAGACATAATCCCTGCCCACAGGATATTTGTTATCTAAAACCTATGACTGGAGAAAGCAACATGACAGACAAGCAGATCAAGAAGTGATTTCTACAGAGCTTTAAATCCTCGGGCCATGTTGGGGGCAGGGGTACATGTGCATACTCTCTCATAATTTCTGATTCCTAACCCAGTCATGACTTGCCAAAGAAAGAAAGAAAAATTGAACTAAATTATTTTATCCAGCATCATTAAAATTTCACCACATTATTTTGTGACACTGCTCCAAATCCTTCCTGAACACATCTTTCATCAGAAGACTTTCCTTTTCATGAGGCTGAGAGGACGCAGAAAGAATGGCAGTGTTCTTCAGCGGAGCACGGAGCTTTATGGGACTCAGCTCTGTTGCCCACATACAAGTGTCTAGTATTATACTGGGCACCCAAAAGTATCTACAACATCCACACAGTATGACATAGGTCCTTCAGTAGATCTGGGCCCTTCTGGAATGACAGATGAGATACCTAGGACATCCTTGAAGGCACTATAAACCTGTATTTGGGAAACAGAGTCAAGGCCATAGGGTGGGGATTCAGGCTGAGACTAGGACAGCTACATCGCCTAGGTATGAGCTAGGTGGTAAACTCCTGTTGTAGTCAATTGAGTTTTAGTCCTGCGGTAGTGGGACCTAGAGAGCTACCTTCAAATCATCCTAAGATGATGTAGAGGGCGAAATTGAGTTGTTTGAGCACAGGCACCTATTACTGTTTGAACCAGCCTCAAGTATTTGCATCTGCACAGGACTTCTGGGCTTAGTGTTCTGCCCATGGAAGACCATGTTTACAATGACACTGGAACCCACATTTACACAGCTGAATCCAGCCCCAGTGTCTTGTCAGCTGAATTTCTCTGTGCTGGGTGCTTAGATCAGGTGCACCTGTAGGCACTTTTGTATAGATGTCCACAGCAGCTGATTTCATAACTACCAGATTTGGTGTGCTTGCTGTCTTTTCTAGATCTCTTTGTTTATATCATGCCTATAGCAGTCTCAGCCACACCTTTAAACATCTACGGTACCTGCCATCCTTCCAGGTGCTCACACCACTAGGTGCCAGTCTTGCTATGGGATATTTGGCTGAACTTCAATTAGGGGGAAGAATAATCAAGAACTGGTCCATAAATATGGGTTTCAGTTGTCCAGACTTAAGTAAAGCATTTGATCTGGAGCCACTAAAAAGTTTTTAGGAAGTATAAGGGATAGAATACAGTTAATTGCAATGGTGGAGAACAGGACGTGAAGGCTTATCAGCTGATTATGGTCTTACACCGGGATATGAGTGCCTAAACCAGGTGAACTCCCCAGAGAGGGGAGTCTGCTGTAATCACTGGCCTCCAAATTTTGAATTTCACCAAAACTGGGCAGAGGCAACTAGTTCAGATGCTGTCTCTGGTAATCACCACTTCTTCTGAAGTTTTCCCAAAGGGACAGGCAGCCACCTTGGAGTTGCCAAACTCTGTGATATTTTGGAGAACTGACGAGTATTGGTAAGGGGACAAAGTAGGATTGGCGGGAATGATATATGAATACTGTGTGTATTCAAAGCACCTTAAAAATCTAAAGCTTAGCTGAATGGAAGACTGCTAAGAGTTGTGTAATTAATCAGCATAAGTTGCAGAATAGATGGGCGCTGCATGATTCATTTCACTATAGCTCCTGATTTGAACCCCAGGCTAAACTGGTGTGTTCACCTATTAACTTCTGTCACTGTTTTGTTGGTTTGTCCCTTCCCTTTCACTACCTCCTCACCTTTGCCATTATGATCTATTCTTTTTGTAGCTGATGCAGGTTTTTTTGTGATGCTATCCCTTATGTTTTTACTTGTATAATGTAGATGTGCAGCCTTCATAAAAGAATAGGACTTTTAGCAGAGTGTTAGTGAATGTGGAATTAAATTTGATGTGCAAAACCATCTGCAAGAATAAGCAGTTGCTTTGTACTGTGCCTCATGAAGCGACTGAAAGCTAGATTTAGCTGGTACCAGGCTGTTCTCAGGCTAAGTTTTCATTTTATTATTGTACATTCAATAATCACTTGGCACCATAGAGGATTTAGCTAAAAGAAATTCCTAGTTGTTCGGATTCATCTGTCACTGTATGTTTTCATCAAAGAGGGTTTGCTGGCCATTATGTGAACAATCCCATGTTTGAATGATCAAAAAGTCTTATCTGATAGCAAGAAGGGTTATGAAACTGTTAAACTATCAATTTCTAATTGTCCGTTTTTAGTTTCATTTCCCCTCTGTGAAGTTACTGCTTAAATTTTACATTCAGTGGCAGTAATAATTTTCTGTGACTTTAGAAACAAGATATCCAAGATTTTAACAGTAACATTCTTAACTGACTGTTACCGAAGATATTTGACAATAGAAAGTAGCTTTTCAAACTGAGGATAGCTGGGAAAATTCTCACCACACTGTATTATGGTCAACTGTATTGTAAATATAGAAACTCGAAGCTTATGTTGTTTAGGAACTGTCTTGAGGCAAGAACTAAAACAAGGTTATAGAGCTTTTTCTCCTTCATTTCAGAAGTGGAGGCAATCCAGTTTTCATTGACTGTGTTATGTTTCTGAAATACAGTGCTACATACCTATGTGAAAGTGGTAAACCAGTTAGCTCCTGCAGGCAAACAGCAAGCACCAGAATAGCCACCCCCAGTGGTTTTCCGAAAGAATAACTTCCTGTGCTTTTATGTGGATTTGTTTTGAATACAGAATGAAATTGAGATATTGAAAGCTGAAAATGACCGTTTAAAGGCAGAGACTGGAAATACTGGAAAGCCTGCCCGGCCGTCATCAGAGTCTTCAAGCAGCACATCATCTTCTTCATCACGGCAGTCACTAGGACTTTCTCTGAACAACTTAAACATCACAGAATCTGTTACATCAGGTAAACATAACTTGGGCACATGGATACCTCAGCAATTAGTACAAATTTATTACTTTCACCCTCTTCATGAGCTCTATATAAGAAGCATACCTGAAAATTAAAACACCTCGTATCACTCAGGTAAACATCAGATATACATTCACTAATGGAGATGAGGAAGAATGCTGGCAGTCATTTCTGAAAATGTAGAGTTTAGAAGGCTTTGAATAACAGTAATAGACTGTTTATTATGTTTGCTTAGTTCTCAGCCGTGATACTCTCTACCTACCTAGTTTACAACAGTCTTTGGTCATCTAGTTTACAATTTATTTGAAAAGGACAATATCTGTTGTAGTACACTTGACAACTGTATAGATATATTCTCTTGTCTCTATGGGATAAATGTAAGCATAGTACATGAAACTTTTTTGTTTACAGATCTTTTATCATTCAGTTAACTCTCTTAACTTAGTTTTGTATTTGCAGGTGGGGCAGAAGGTGGTTTCAGTTAGCTTTATCCCTTACATTTTTTTAATGTGGTATAGCTAGTTAGCCTGTGTTGGACGAAATCACCATTTATCACAGGAGCCAAACCCCGCCTGGCTTATTAAGCACTCTCATTGTCTTCAATGAATGAGAGAAAGCAAGCAGAACTTTGGTCCACATCCTGAACATTAACATTTGATTATTTTCCGTGCCATAGAGTTTATGATAATAAGCCTCCTACACTTGTTTTGATAATGTAGCCAAGAAACAGAAGTGCTGTCGCTAACATTAGAACCAGGAGCACAGCAGAAGCAAAGCAGCACTAATTAGCGTAGACGCCACAGAAAGTATAACGCAGTTTCTGGAAGCAATAAAAATGTGGCTAATAATCATAGAAGGAGTCTAGGCAAGAGTACAGCTGGGAACATGCCAAACTGCCTGACTATAATTTGGATTGGCATTTAGTCCTATTATCTTGCCAGTTGTTGATTACATGGGTATTTGAATATTTCTTCTGGTTAATATCAGATTTTATGTGAAAATCTGTATATTTTTTATTTACATTCCAGCCAAGAATTCCCTACTTTTTGGGCAGGTTTAACTTTTAGCATGGATGAGCCTGAGTTGGGCCTCGGTATACAATGAAGTGTTGCAAAAACAGGGAGAAAAAGTTAAACTATGGTTCCTGCTCACACATGCACACACATTAAAAAAACATACACACACACAAAAAAAAAACCACCATAATTTTTTTCAAAATGGTAATTGTAGAATCTCTTTCACAAGCAGCAGCTATTAGCTCTTTCTTGCTCGGTACTAACTAGATATAGGAATAAACATATAAGAGAAGAGTAGAAGGAGGAGTTTGAAGAAAAGGAGGAGGAACTGGATGAGAATAAGGTGGGAAAAGAGGACCAGGGGGAAGAATATGGGAAGGTGAAAGGTAAGAAAGAGAACAAAGATGAAAAAAATCAGGAGGAAGTATTTAGCAAAAAATAGAAGAAATAAAAGCTGGAAGAAAAAGAGGAAGAGGAGGAGGAAAAAAGGGAAAAAGGAGGAGGAGAAGGAACAGGAAGAAGAAGAAGAACAGGAAGACTGGGAGAAATGGTTGCACTCAATCATCTTAAGGGTCTTTTCCAACCTAAATGATTCTATGATTCTATGATTCTGCAAGCTTTATATAATTTTCTGTGTTATTGGTTCTAGATGTTTTTCTAGCACACAAAGTAATTACTTCTGGTTATAAGAAATTAAAGAAATAAGGGTGCCTAATGAGGAGTGGAGGATTTCATCTGATTATGAATCCAGCCTTTTTGATCATTTTGAGTATCATTTTGCTGCTGTGCCAGAGAACTTGGACGGATGACAGCTTCCTACCAAGTCCTATGGGATTTCTGCGGCAGCTGGAGTACAATTGAAAAAAAGTCCCTGAGATATGGAGAGGTTAATCATGCTAAGAACTAAGCTGAGAGAGATAACAAGGGCTTTGGCTCATCATATTAAAAAGTGCCATGGCACTTTCTGGGAGACCAGTGTCTCCAAATGACCATGGTCATCTGGAAATGACCAAGGCTATCCATTACCACTTCCTAAGAATATGACCATTTCCTTCAGACAAGTATGAGTGGCAAGTTGGGAAGGGGCTCGGTGGTCACAGGCACCCATATTTCACTCAATCACTGTAGTAAAGAGCAGCAAACAAGGACCAGTACAAGATTCTGTACAGCCGAATGAAAAGAGTGCCAGAGCTCAGATAAGAAGTGAGCCGGAGCCACCATAGTGCACCTAAGGAGGAGGCTCGATAGGAGGTAATTAAAGCAATTAGTACCCATGAAATTAGATCTCCTTGGGTATCTTCTCAGCTCCTTGTGTCAGGGAGAGCTCTTAGGAAGTGGAATTTTTTTCTAGCCACAGAGTTGTTCCTCACTCCTGAAGACTTACAGAAGAGTGTATTTAAAAAGGCTACATGAGGGTCATTTAGAGATAGAAAAATTTCACAGGGGGATCAGTTATACTGTAAATTGCTCTCAGACAAACTATGACATTATGGAAACTCTTAAGGTTTGTCAAATATGCCAAAACACAAGACAAGTGAAGTGAAACATTCAGTGTTGGTGGCACAGAAAAACTGTCTGCCTGGAACAAAAGAAGTATGGATTTGTTTAAGCTCAGAACAAAAATGCTTCTTCATTTGATAAATTAAAAATAAACAAAAACACCCCACCCCACCCCCCCAAAACCAAAAAAACCAACAGCAGAATCTGCTTTCTAGATCTGGGTGTAAATTATCAGACATTTTACATGAGGACTTATTTTTCAATACATTCACTGAAATCATATTCATAAGTCTTCTTTGGTTTTGCTTTGAGCAAGTGACTGAATCTTACCGGTACCTCATTTAATTTGGGTGAAATGTGACGTTGTGCAGACTGTGACATGAAGTTGATGCTTTTCTTCAATCACCACAATAAGAACAAGCAGGGCTTAGGGTAGTGGATTACTGTGCTGGTCTTTGAAGAAAATGCAAATCCATAATCTCTCCTAATTTGATAGTTAGTTTAAATGTCTCACAGTAAAATCTCTGAGAGCACTTCTAGAGGAAGACAGCAGTTTTATCCCTTGCAATAAAGCTGCAGGCTCAGCCTTCAGTAAGAAAAACATCCTCCTGCTTTCTCATTTCAGGAGTTAGTGAACGGGTAGAAACAGAGGCACAGAGCAGATCAGAATCACTCTTTACCTCCAAGAAAAATGAAACCTTTTCTTAGAGGAATGCCTGAATAGAGAGTCCCATATTCTGGAGGACTGCAAAATGGTTTTCTAATGGGTACTGTTTGTAAGCCTGTATTGTGGGGGTAAAAAAGACTATCCATGCCATGTGTACGGAAGGTAAAGAAATGAGCTGAAAAGAGAAATTAAATGCTATTTTAATTAACAAGAAACATATCAATGCAAGGATTTTTTGCTTTTCTCCTTGTAATGTTCTAAAGGGCACCATGAGAGCCCAAAGATAAAAACTTAATTTAGGTTTTAAACAACATTACTTTGCGGATGTGTGGTAATATTGAACAAGTTCCAAGAAGGAAAGCAAAGGCAAGACTATAATGCAAGAATTTATGTATTTCTGCATTCTCTATTCATTTCTACATGATTAAAGTTCCTCGTATTGCTTCAAAAATTGAAAGATTGTACCTTATTTTTCATCTCCAACAGAAAAGGCAAATTAGGAATAAGTACAGATTAAAATGACTGCAAGTTGTTGTGATGGCAGCCTTTCCTTTTAACCAAAAAATCCTTTGAACAAATATTGAACTGATGTTGTGAACACAATTTGTAAGGTTGAACGCTTTACTTCCCTTCTTTTACTGTAGATATTTTGTTGGATGATGTCACTGATGGAGCACTCCACAAAGAAGGTCATAGCGTGAAAATTTTAGTCACTATAAACAAGGGCTATAGTCGAGCCAAGGTAAGATCGTTACCCAAAAGCCTAGATGCAGAATTATACATCAGGCAAATCTTGCAGTATAGTAGCCCAACTTGTTTCAGTATTTTCATCCAGGAAGTAAAGGGAAATATCCTAAATATTGCAGTTCCCATCTCTGTCGTCCATGCCCAGTACAGTTAGGTGCTCTCCATAGACTAATGTCATATGGCCTCCTTCTGCCTTTGTGGTGGCTCAGACACTACCAATTCTCAGTTTAATTAGTAGTAGGGTGTTCTGAGACTTCCTATCTCCATTTAAAAGTCATTATAAATTAGATTGATGCCCTGGACCCCTTAGGGTGATTATGCTGCTGAGGTAATCAATTTGAAATTGCATTGTGTTTTCACGGTCTGTATTACAAAAAATTATAAATACAGTCAGCTTTTATTCATATTGAGCTTTTCATAAACACAGATGCAATCAAAGAGCGAAATAAGATACTGTATTTCCTTCCTTATAAAGATGCATGAAAGTAGTATCATCTGTACTTATTTCTGGCACAGAGATTACTAATAAAGTTGTAACATCATATTCTAAATAATATTATTTATCTTCATTGAAAAAATTATGAATCTTCATAGAAAAATAATTACCACTATTTTTAGTCCATTTTCCAAAAATGTCTCTTTGCAGGATCAAAAACCACATGCATATCTGATAGGATCAATTGGAGTGAGCGGAAAAACAAAATGGGATGTTTTAGACAGTGTAATAAGACGTCTCTTTAAGGTAAGACACTGAAAAATTATCTCTAGTATTAATTCAGTTTTCTTTTTCACTTAAGAAAAATGCTGTATTCTTCGGGTTGTCTTGCCAAATTTTTTTATTTTTTTTTTAACACATAGCTAACATCGCTCTTAAATTTTATTTTTAATGTTACTGTTCTTTTTTCATGTTTGTAGGCAGTTCTCTATTGAACGTGACTGCAAGAATCTCCTTGTCAAGTGACTTCACCTGTACCAAAGTACTTTCCAAACTGCTTTCATTCAATAACAATTTTTATTTTTATGTCTTATGTTTTCATATAATTTCAGGAATATATTTTCCGAGTGGATCCGACTACTAGCCTGGGTTTAAGCTCTGACTGCATTGCTAGCTATTGTATAGGGGATGTAATTAGAGCCCATAGCCTAGAAGTGCCTGAACTGCTGCCTTGTGGATATCTGGTTGGAGATAATAACGTCATCACTGTGAACCTGAAAGGTAAAACCCCAAGAATATTTTTGCAGATACTGTAGAGTTCTTCACTGAAGTCCCCCATCCCTTCATACTTTTTTTCTTACACCTGACCTTTCTGTATTTTGTCTCCAGTTCAAGGACTCATTTATCACATAAACTCTCTGTATGACATTGTACAATACCTAACACAGTGCAGCATTTTGAGGCAAATCTAAGAATATCTTTGTCCTTCTCTGCCTGACTGCCAAATCACAGCAAAGTACAAACTTCTGAATAGTGGTAAAAAAACCCAACCCCAAAACAGACATTATGATGAGAAATATTTATGCCTTACCCAGTTCTGCAGGAAAAATTCAACACATTAAATCTGTAGGGTTTTGCTATTGGAGGGGATGGGGGGGCCTTCGAAAGAACTATCCATACACTGATGTGACAACCGGTAACCCTTGTGGCTGTCACGTTGACCTTTTTTTTGTCATGGTTGCCTGTAGTGTCTGAAACATACATCTTTGCCTCACTGAGCCTTCTTTTCACATTTGCTTTGATTTCATCTCTCCCACCCATCTCATCCCACTACCACTGTTTAATTTTTTGGCCCTCTGGAAGGATATAAGCATTTCCACAGTAATAAAGCCCTTGATAGGAATTTGATTTAGGCAAAAGTATCTTTACCTTGCTTTGAGCATAGCACTGATGCCATCAGATACTGGGCCAAACCTATACCTACCTTAGCAAGGATGAAGACAGGCCATTTTTCTTTTCTTTTGTTCCCAGGAGTGGAAGAAAACAGTTTGGACAGTTTTGTGTTTGACACATTAATTCCTAAGCCAATTACCCAGAGGTACTTTAATTTACTGATGGAGCATCGCAGAATTATTCTGTCGGGACCCAGTGGCACAGGAAAGACCTATTTAGCTAACAGGCTGGCTGAATATATTATAACCAAATCTGGCAGAAAAAAAACTGAGGATGCAATTGCAACTTTTAACGTAGATCACAAGTCAAGCAAGGTAAGTTAAAGCTGAAAAGATAACCTATTGCCCAATATGTAGTGATGATGCAGAGCAGATCTAATTAATTGGCATACTGTTTTGTTGCTCAGTTAGCATTTTTTTTCTACAAGAATTCAGTCTCCAATTCTGGTGAGGAACAGGAACCAGATCTTTCTGTTCTAAACAAACCATTGAAGCACTGTGAAGGAAGTCTGAATTTTCCCTTACTTGAGGAAACCCACCTTAAGGATAGATGCAGAGTCAAATTCCTATGTAAATTAAACTCTTAGAGTGTTTGTAATTCCTTTGTCAGAAAGGTTAGATATATAATAATACTAGTCTAACTTGCTTTTTTATAGCGATAATAGCATCCTATTGTTAGCAAAGATTTCAGAATGGGGATTTTGATTTATTGTCTTGGGTTCAGCTTCTTATGGAGCAGATCGTCTTGAGTGACATCATGCAGCATGTACAGGACAACCAGGCGGTCAGGCCCAGCCACCATGGGTTTATGAAAGGCAGATCCTGCTTGACTGACCTGATCTCCTTCTATGACTAGGTGACCCACTTAGTGAATGAGCTAAAGGCTGTGGATGTTGTCTACCTGGACTTTAGTAAGGCCTTTGACACCGTTTCCCACAGCATTCTCCTGGAGAAACTGGCTGCTCATGACTTGGATGGGCGTACTCTTTGCTGGGTAAAAAACTGGCTGGATGGCCGAGTCCAGAGAGTGGTGGTGAGCGGAGTTAAATCCAGTTGGTGACTGGTCACAAGTGGTGTTCCTCAGGCCTCAATTTTGGGGCCAGTTCGGCTAATATCTCTATCAATGATCTGGACAAGG